TTTGTGATCACCACCAAACAACCACTACCTCCAACAACACCACCGCCACCGTCACCACCATCACCCGACAAGAACATCACTTTCTCAAACAAATCAACACATCTACCTCAACAGATCACGATCACCAATATCTCACTGTCACCACTGCACCCACTGCCATGACAATCACCATCTACGACCACCGCACCTTCAAAATATTGAAGTTGCCACCACCACACTCTTAACAACCAAAACCACCACAACTATCGCACTACACCTGCCAGAAATCACATGTGCCACTATTAGACCACATCGCCAGATCCACCATCACCACAACCGCTAGATTTGCCACCATACAACGAACATACCATCACCACCACCCTACAAAACACCACTTCGTGCCGTACCTCACTACCAGATGCACCATCAACCATCACAACCACAAGATCAGACGCTGCTAGCCACCATCACAACATCGCATCCACACAAATACCATACCACCACCACCACACAAAATACCACTTTGCCCACGCAAGTCGTAGATTTGCTTTACCACCATCAATACCACACAAACACCACTTTGCATTACAACTTACCACCGCACCTCACTGCCAAATCCAGCACCACCACCACAACCACCAGATTCAACACCGCCAGTCACCACACAAATACCATCATCACCACCACACAAAACACCACTTCGTCAAAAATCGCAACCAACATATGGGAGAAATGTAGAGAGAGAGAGAGAGACGGGTTCTATAGGGCGTGTGTTTTGTCGATCGTGAGTAGCGGTCACACGATGCCACTGGAGGATGAGCGCCTTGGGTCACACGGCATCGTCGGCATAGAGACGATGGGTGGTAGAGATCGACGACATCACAGAGTATGGGTAGTAGGGAGAGAGTGGTGAAGCAGTGAATGAATGAATTAAGGTTTGGTAAATTAACTTAATTTTATGATAATATTATTAATATTTAAAAAATAATTTTTTATCTGATTTTTGAAATATCAAACTTCCAACCTGATTTTAGAATGTTGAATACTTAAAGTATGGTTTGATATAATTTCCACTTTTAAAAACTCTACCAAACGGGCCCATATTCAAGCTCGTGAAATCTAGAATTACAAATAATGTCTACTTGTCTAGTGATGAGTAACTCTTTAATATTTTTCTGCAATTGAGCTTAATAACTTACTATTCCCTATAATTTCCTACATTTTATGATGGGAAACATTGATATAACTACGAAAGTTTCAAAATACAATTTTAAAAGTAATAAATTTAAAATTTAGATGATCCCATTTTGTGATCTATGATAAAATACTAAGAACTATAAATTTACTAAAAAGGGTATGAATTTATGGTCAAGTTACATACAATCACAAATCACATAAGGTCGCTATCACATAAGATATAATTGGTGGGTCACGATCACATATTTAATCGCAAATCACGCATTTAATATGTCACAAGTTATATATTAGTTACAAATTATCCAATTNCATCCAAATTTTGGACACTACCTCAACTCCACCACCACCACCACCACCACCTCAAATCCACAATCACCACCATCATCGTCGGTACCACCTCAAATCTACAACCACACCAACTTCACCTCAAATCCATAATTACTACCATCACAAACTCTATTTCAAACAAATCAACAATTTCAAAGTACATCGAGACAACCTATGGAAACCTTCCACTAGACCACTATCAACTGAAGTGTTGGACAATCGCCAACTGTAGTGCCACCACAAGCGACCTCCAATTCTACATCAAAAGGGGCCTCCACCATGGCCATCGATCTCCTTGTAATAGATCAATCTGATGCTGGAATTAACGGTTTGGTCCTCAACAAGTCCGCCAAATAAATTGTTACTCGAGCACCATTGATGGTGGAGGTGCCAATGCGAGGTTTGGCTTAAGTTTCATTAGTCATTAGAAGAATATAGAGCAGATAATATGGGGAAAATGACAATGAGGTTTGGTTGCATATAATTATGTATATGTGTACATATAAGGAGAAGTGTACGATGAAATAAGCGTCTTGTTGCCATGCGTTACAAACGATAAATTAAATTGACCTAGACAAAATTAATAAACACGATAGGATAATTCACACAAACTTATTCATGGAGATAGAATAATTCACACAAACTTATTAATGGAGTTACAAAGTATGAAATAAAAGTAAAAGAATAATGCTATATATACATCCTCCCTTACCACTTGGATGACATTCTTTTCTATGTGGAGGAAATCTATGCAGTGATGTGATGGATGTGTTTAAAATCAAGAGTGTAGATATTGTTATGTGAAATAGTGTAAAGGAAGGTGTAAATAATAGTGTACTTGTAGCATGGTTGGAAATAAAAAGTCCACAATATTATCGAAGTATCAAACTAATATAGATTAATCAGCAAAATCGGAAATGATAGAATGAAAGATAGAAACCTACTTACACTCTCAAAAAACTATTATCGAAAAAACTTAATAAATAATTAAGAAATGTATTAACTTAAGAGATGACAGAGTGTAAATTTGGCAGGAAAAAACTTTAATTAAGCCCGCCAAAATATTTTAATTTGGGGAAAAACAATTGAACATATATAGGACAACAGGACTAATGTAATGTAATATATTCCAGTCATTCAAACAAACAATTACTAAGGTTCTCTAATCAAACTTGTCAATCCTCAAGGCTGGAATTTGGTAACATGAAAATTTAAATTGATTTTTCACGAATTTAAACACCAAATATCACGAGTACATGTCTTGTATGCAGGACTAGAAAGATCATATTCTTTTACACCGTCCAAAACTGCATAGTCCTGTTTACCATACAAGCTCGTATATTTAACATTCTGGTACAATGGCTGTTCGTATGCCCATTAAAACAAGGGCTAGAGATGTAACACACAAATATTTATGCTTTCTAAGCTATGTAGAGGGTTCATTGTCAGC